CCAACTTCTTCGGATCACAAAATCCCAGAGATTACATGTCCACCTGCACCCAAGAAATCAAGTACAAAAAGAAGAGCTTCACTTTCAACAAGCATAAATCCAACCCTACACGTTGACTTAGAATCGACTTTCACCACCATAATTGATGAAGATACAGAAAGGAATATCAAGAAATTGAGGAAACAAGATGGTGATGAATGAACTACTATTCCTGGCTAACTAAAGGTGAGAACTAAAATTCATTGTACAATCCATCACTAGTCACTTACACATTTCTTAATGTACGGATTTTACATACAATGATAAAAAGGGCAGCCCGAGCACAAAGTATTTCGTATTCACGCAGGATTTGGAGAAGGGTCACACTTAAGGGATATGATTTAGATAACCTAACCTAATGACTCGAAACCGTATATTATAGGTCACAAGGAGACAACTTTTTGGTTGTTAGGCATCCCTTCTTTTACATACAATGATAATGTAAAGATTAAGTAGTTACGCTATTTCGTTACCATATTTCAATTGGTTACCGATTAATATTTACATGTAATTTATTTTATAGGTGACTTGATCGTTAAAAAAATCCTTTTATACTATTCGTGCATAAGAACTTAAATTGATCTATACATGGTCTTTATCTCCTAGGCCGACAAGGACTCAATATATATCTCTTAAATTTAATTTTGTATTTTACGTCTGCATATTTTGGAAAGAAAAAGTTGAGATATCAAGGATGAAGTAGAGACCAAAAGATTACTGCAAAGAGGCCGTAGATTCCAACTTTAATAGCGTTGCGCCCAACGTAATTCTTTTGTCATCAAGGTGTGATGTTACCTAAAAGAATGAGAATAGAAAGATTCCAATACCTAAAAACATGTAAAGAATTTGTTTCCTTATTTCTCTTTTTCAGGTATGTTAAAAGACTCATTATTAAGTAGACATCCAATTTAGAAGAAAAATAATTTCCTTTTAATTCTTTTCGTATGAAGCAGCTAGATTCAGTGCTTGGGAAGCTTTGCTAGGTCATCTATGGTGTTTTCAACAATATTAAATTTTAGCGGTGTAATATTCCTATGTAGTCACATTCAATTCATAACACGCTTTGGTAATTGGTGGGCTTTTGACCTTTAGGTAGACAACAAATTTGTCAATTTTATTATAATAAGATTTTGACAATTTTATAAAATGATACGGGGAGATGAGGATACTGCCAAGAATGATGGTAGCAATCAAAAAGCTGTATTTGAAGCCCTAGCTAGCACATATTTTTAGCATGAAGGCCAGCATTATGATACTCCATGTTTTTCTATGCCACCTTATTAAAGGGAAATGATTACACCTTAACATTAATTCGTTTAGGATTTGTCAATAAACTAAAGTGCTAAACAAAAGTACTTGAGGTTGAGCAAATGATAGAATATATAATATAACTTGAAGTGGTATAAATAAAACATATATAATATATGTATAACCACCTATAATCAATGTTTAATAACTTAAAACGTTAGTAGTAAACCCGAAGATCCCCTGAGATATATTACTTTGAAAAGGACATTAATACACATTTTGTTACACCCCATATTTTCATTGTGAAAATATGTCATAAGTCAATTGATGTAAGCTCAAAATTGAAATTATATTCGAAAGTACATAAAGTAAGTTAATCATGTTACCATGAAGGTTGACAATTTTTTATATCATGAACTGCAAGTACCAAGAGGGTTGGAAGTTTAGAAGCTAAACAAATGGAAGAAAATAAGTTGTCGAAAGTCGAGAAGTTGGAAATGTTATAACATGTACTTTTGGGATGAGACTAGGGGGCTTAAAATAATAAGGATATTATATTATGAGTTATTTTAGTCATATGATAGACGTGTATTATATTTTAAAGTCAAGCAAGTTGTGGAACAAAAGTTGGCAAAGGTCATCACAAGTTATATTCATAAATGTGCTGAAAATTAGGTCAAATGTAGTTGAGCGTTTCTCCCAATATATTAGGAATTACGGGATGATCCACTTATCAAATGAAAGATCGAGTTTAGTTTCCAACGCATTAAATAGTTTGTCGATGCGACATCGGAGTAGAAAGATATTAGCGTTTTTGCAAAACCGCACAAGCAGCTCCTAATGGGACCCACTTAGGCGGTGGACAACCCTTGAACATTTTAAAGAAGTCGGACGGCTCATTTTTTGTTATTTTTGACCAAGGACAGTTTCAAAACTCTCTATAACAGCTCTCCAAGTTTCCAAGTCGAATCCAAGGTGGTTTTACTTAAACCTAACCTCAAAATTTAGCTTAAGTGAAGAAGAGAGTCTCTATGGTGTTGATATCATTAAGGGTGCTTGTAACTTAAGAGAAGCATTGGTTCAAATTTTTTCTAATTTTAAGGTATGTATAGCAACCTATTTCTTGGGATTAAGGTTATCTATGTGTTGGTTAAGTTATTTGGATTAAAAATTACAAGATAGAACTTGAAGTTGTATAAGAAGTTGTTGTCTCTTATTGGACTATTTTGGAGTTGTGTATATGACTTCATATGGATGGAAATCATGGGAATAGCTTGCTTATAATGTTTTTATTGTTTTATGCTTGTCAATATGTTGATTATGTTGATGATATTGTAAATAGGAGAAGAAGCAACCACACAATACCTAGAAGTGGTCCATGTTGTTGTTATATCATGTTGGATTGTTTGATGTTACTTTTCTAATGGATACAAGGTTGGAATGCCATGTCAATATATATGTTTATATGCTAGACTTGTTGATGGTGTTGTAAGTATAGGGGAGATGGTAAAAAGAGTTGGGGTTTCGTTCCAATCCAAGCTTGTCGTTCGTCGTGTCAAATAGTAGTTTCGTTAGTGACGTTTGTGCACTTGTTGTTATGTTGATTGATTAATTGGTGTTGTTGGGCTGTTGGGTGTGTTGTGGTACTAAAGGTATATAGGTGAATGTTATATGTATTATTGTTATCTTTATGGACTTGGGGAAAGAAAGAAAAATATGTGATATGCTGTCTATTTTAATATAAAATAAGTTTGTCATTTGTTGTACAAGAGTTGCATCCTTTGTCGCTTAACGATAGTATTATTATCATTATTGTACATTAAAGTGCGACAAGACGAGTTCAACATGGTCATTGGACAGACTATGATAAAGTATGTTACGACTAAATCTTTACTTCATTTTGGCATAATCTCTTAACTATATGTGTTGGATAATGAGACATAAAGAGAAGTTCGTACTCCTGAATTTATGTACATTATCCTAGTCTCAAAAGTTACAGTATTGTCCCTTATCGGAACTTTACATTCAATTAAGTATTATCTTCTTCTAGTCAAGAGAGCAGAGGGTCTCTCTCTCTCTCTCTCTCTCTATATATATATATATATATATAATATTTTTACCACCATCGAGCTATAATAGGTGGGCAGGCCCCTATTGGGAAGTATTACAGTATTTTCACCACCATCGAGCTATAATCAGTGGACAGGCCCCTATTGGGCAACCTCTGATCAGGTGGTAAGTTATATACCGAGCCTACTTTGGTCGAGCGCATATGAGCAAGCCCAGAATGGATGAGATATAGAGCCTAGTATGGTCGGGTGCTTATGAGCGAGCCTACTATGCAGAACAGTTACATATAGCAAGCCTTATAGGGTCGGACACCTATTTACTTACTATATTAAAAGAGTTGAGTCCGTATCACCAGGTAAGCATATCTTCAGATTATCTTTGACTCCCGGTTACTTTCAGTTATTATATTATCAGTTCAGTTTCAGCTTTCAATTATTCTGGTGCCTTACATACTCGGTAAATTATTTCGTATTGGCATCCCTTCTGCCAGGGACGCTACGTTTCATGCCTGAATGTCTTGATAGACATCTGGGTAGACCTTCACAGTTGACAGAGTCAAACATCACCTTGGTTGGTAAGCTCCACTTCCTCAGAGTTACCAGGTCTAGACCTTGGAGTCCATTTTATATATACATGTTTGATGGGTAAGTCGAGACCTGTCCCGACTATGATACAGTTCAGTTATCTCTAGAGACTTGTAGATGAGTATTGTATATTTTGTAAATTAGTATTGTAGCGTTGCCAGCTCTGTATAAATGTTCATTTTGGTATTACTGGTTAGAGACATTCATCGCGGCCTCGTCGGCCTGCATGATTATGTCTTCGAGCTTTTGGGTACATTTACCCCTCAAATGAGAGAGACGTTATTTGAATATGGCCTCGTCGACCTTGATTGGTATTGTTAGTTTGCAGGTAGGCCTCGTCAGTCTAAGTTGAGGGTTACCTCTCCATAGTTTACAGTTTCAGAGTGGTACGCTCTAGACAAGTATAACACCAGTGCCAGCCACGCCTCCCCAAGTTTGAGGCGTGACAAACTTGATATCATAGTAGTTCTATCCTAAGGAATCTGCAAGTCATGTCTAGTAGAGCCTTGTTTATAGATGTGTTGTGTAACACATTATATAAACAAGAAGCTACAAGGCATTTAGGAGTTTGTTACCCTTTTTTTAAATTCAAATCGTGCTATAGAGCTAAGTCATATGAGTTCGATCCAGGACTTATGTTTGCAAATGATATAGAGATGCTTGCAATTAGAAAAATTATAGCTAGCTAAAGGGTTAATACAGTAGCAGTTAGAGGGCACTAGTAGAGAAGGAATTCTTGACGACGTGGTCTTGTTTGAGGTCCTATCAGATCGTGTATACCAGGTGTGCAAATTTTCTTCTTAAGACCCTAAGATGGAGTATCTAAAGCACCCCGTGAATAACAGGCCATGGGAGTATCAGAAGGTAAAAAAAGAAAGGTGAAGAAGGGTACGAGGTACCCAGTTAGTGAGGATTATCTGTATTTACGATCCGGGCAGAGAAATATAAACATTATAAGTTACCTTTAACAGTAACAGAGGTATGCACAATTGACCACACCTATCTTAGTTATGCCTAGCTAACAGATATAGTTTAAGAGAAGGATGAGATATTAGGATTATGGGTGGCAAACAAGCGGGTCGGGTTGGATATGGTTCGGGTCGAAAATGGATAATGCCTCCAACTACTTGGGAAGTTAGAGGCGAGAGCGACCAGAAAGTTGCAAAGAAGGCTCATGAAATACCCTCTAACTACTTGAGAAGAAATCCACAATGCCTATTACACCGAGGTACGAGCCGACGAGGACGATCTCAACAGCCCTACCCAACGGTTAACATCACTTCAAACTGAAGCAAGGAAAGATCATCGCAACGACGGTCGAAGAGATCGGTTGGGGTACTGCCTCGGTCGGGAAATGCACCAACCCTACACCAGGACGTCTTCCCCTCCTCTACCACGACGCACAGATGCTCCTCCTCGACATACGACACCATATCGACACGAGAAAGGTATGCCTCCACTCCTATCCGCTCACAATTTTTGTGTTTCTCCTTCAGAAATAGTGTACGCCATAGAGTAACTCAGTCCAAAGGTGCAATGGCCGCAAAAGTTGAGGTCAGACCCCAGCATTTGGAAGTCAAGCGCTTTCTGCGAATTTCACCAAGAAAGGGGTCACAAAACCGAAGATTGCATAGGAGTGCGACAGGTGCTGAGCGATCGAGGACGGACTAACTTCGCCCACAGATGCGAACAGCCCCAAGGACATCCAAAACCGCCTTCTCCCGCTCGCACCATACAGATGATCATCGGTGGGGGTGATGGCGCAACGATCAATCATGTCAAGTTCACCACCACACACAAACTCAAAAGAACAATCACCCACAAATGGTATGATGACCTCGAAGAGAGTATCATTTTCGATAAGTCAGATGTCGATGGTTTGTCTTTCCCTCACTATGATGCTCTTGTTATCACTTTACGTATCGCAGATACTAATGTAAAAAGAATAATGGTAGATGACAGGAGAGGTGCGTATATTATCCATCCTCGAGTCCTCGTGCAGATAAGACTCGAAGATAAAAGAATACCGCACTGTATAATGCTAATAGGTTTTAATAATGTAGTTGAACGAACCTCTAGAGAGATAGTGCTACCTATCCTAGTCGGAGGAGTCACCCTGGAAACAACATTTTGCATCATGAACCAGGAAACAGCTTACGACGACATCATAGGGCGCCCGTGGATACACGCCATACGAGTGGTCCCATCCAGTTTCTACCAAGTGATCAAGTTTCCTACCCCATGGGGAATATTCAGCATTCGAGGGGAGCACCGCACCACACAAGAATGCTATCGCATCACCCAAGATTGCGCATATACCCAACAACTCAAAGGAGCAAATGCGGAAGCATAGAAATCAGCGATGTCGGGAGCCAAACTTGACGTACGGACAAACGTTATCAAGGACCCCGACATCGTGGAAGCATCCGAATCAATGATAGAAAATCTTGATCCCATCCTACTAGACGGCAATTACATCATAAAAAAGGCTTATATCGGGCACAACCTCTCGGAACCAGGTAAGTTTTATAAGTTCTTGACTGACCATGATGATCTATTTGCCTTCTCCCATGCAGATATGCTAGGCATCCCAAAAGATATTGCCACCCACAAGTTAAATGTCGACCCCCTTTACTCGCTGGTGCGGCAAATGAGAAGGAAGTTCAACACCGCAATCAACGAAGCCATCAACGAAGAGGTCGATAAGCTGCTCGCAAATGTCTCCGTCCGGGAATCAAAATATCCTCAATGATTCGCCAATGTGGTCATGGTGAAAAAGAAAAACGGAAAGTGGAGGATGTGTGTAGACTTCACGGACATAAACAAGGCATGACCGAAAGATTCTTTTCCATTGCCACATATCAACCAGCTCATCAACGCAATAGCAGGACACGAGTTGCTAAGCTTCGTGGATGCCTATTGGGGTTACAATCAGATCCTCATGGAAGAAGAAGACCAGGAGAAAACCACTTTCATCACTCACCATGGAGCATACTAGTATAAAGTGATGTCGTTCGGACTAAAGAATACGGGGGCGACATATCAGAGATTGGTCACCAAAATGTTTAAAAACCAACTCGATAAAACAATGAAAGTCTACATCGACGATATGTTGGTTAAGTCGAAAAGGAAAGAAGATCATATCAGTCATATGAAGGAAGCCTTTGACATATTAAGACGGTACGACATGAAACTAAATCCAGAAAAATGCGCCATTGGCGTATGCTCGGGAAAGTTCCTAGGTTTTCTGGTGTCAGAAAGAGGCATCGAGGTCAACCCAAAACAGATTAAGGCCATCGAAAGAATACCCAAAACACTAACAAGCAAAAAGCAGGTACAAAAATTGACGGGATGGATAGTCGCCCTGTCGAGGTTCTTCTCACGGTCATCGGATAGATGCAATAAATTCTTTAATGTATTGAGGAAAGACCATAGGCTCTAGTGGAATTCAGAATGTGTCGACGCCCTAAGGAAACTAAAAGCGTACTTGTCTTCGCCACCCTTACTCGCCAAAGCAGACCCAGGCGAATGCCTCATAGTCTACCTAGCCGTATCTGAAGTCGCGGTAAGTGCAGTTCTAGTCCAAGAAAACCAAGGTACACAATCTCCAATTTACTATATCAGCAAAACCTTAATTGACACCGAAACAAGGTACCCCACCTTGAAAAACTAGCTCTGGCGCTAGTCGTAGCTTCACGAAAACTTAGACCATATTTTTAGTGCCACCTGATAAGTTAGGATTTTAACATGTTTTATACCCCTACTTGCCTATGCTTTGATCATATATTATTACAAAATCGTCCTAAAAGGCTCACAAGTTGTGCTTGATCGCAGGTTTGATCGACAAAGTGATGAAATGTCAAAGATCGGCTCAAAAAGTAGTGAAACCTGCTCAAGTATCAAAGACCAAGAAATTTAAGAAAAGAAGGCCTAGTGCGGACCGCGCAAAGTGGAATGCGGCCGCACTAGGTGGTTCAGAGAGTTGGTGAATCAGGCTAGAAGAAGCGTGGCCGCGGTACACATCTCGTGGTCCGCGGTGAAGGCTCCGCGGCCGCACTACACTTTTGTGCGGTCCGCGGTCATGAGGTTCAGAGAGATGAAGTTTGCAAAGCGAGTGCCATGCGGTCCGCGGTCGTGGTTGCGCGGACCACACCAGCTCCCTCCGCGGCCGCGGTCTGTTCTACGCGGTCCGCGGAGTCCAAGTTTAGAGAAGTAGGAGTGAGCCTAGTGCGGCCGCGGTCCATTTAATGCGGCCCGCACTGACCCCACAGGGGTATTTTTGTCTAGTTTTTTCAGCCTAGTATAAATAGAATATTTTACCATTTTTTAGGGAATCAGATATATCAGTGGAGAGCTGCGCTCGAGAGAACGTATTTTGTAGCCATTTTTGGCACTTTTGCTTTACATTTACCATAGATTATTGTAATTTAATCTTAGCAATTAATTAATATGCTTAGTTATTCATCTATTTCTTCAATTTCTTTATCTTGCATGAGTAGCTAAACTCATTAGCTAGGGTTGTGGCTCAACCCTAGTATGGGTAATTGATGGGTGTTGCCATCTAGTGTTAGATTGACTATGGGTGTTTGCTATTTAGGTTGATTTTATGTTTTAATCTAGAATTGGTGGTTGCAAACACTGATTCAAGCTTTGTGGGTTTAACTCTTCTTGAGAAAGAGAGCCTATGACCCCAAAAATTGACCCAACAAGGAATTGGGATGGACTCATAAGAAATGATAGTCTCAATTAACGGGTTAAACCTCGAGAGAGTAATTACCCTACTTGAACCCTAGATGTTTGGTCTAATTTGCCTATCCATTTGGTCTCGAGAAAGTCAATTGGGCAAAGTCACTTTCTCTACCGAGAGGTGTGAGAGTGGGTAAAATTGTGCAATGGTTATAGCATAAGCACCAATTATGTCAATCGAACCTTAGTAACATCTACCCGTCAATTAGCCACCTAGGTAGTGTCACGACCCTAGTGCCCGACTTCCTATTAGATACAACTTAGCAATATTCTCGTAGCATAATTTAGTGTTAATCAATAGTTTTACAAAAATAGCTATAATTTGAAAACCCAAAAATGTTTGAAGTGACATCAGGAGTACAAACACATCTCTAGGATAGACAGACAATCCAACTCCACTACTAGCTCCTGAGGAATTCGATCCCGACCTTCATATCGGGTAAAGGCTATTGCGACACGCTCTTTCTACCTTAGTGTAGCGTTGAGTTAGTAGCGATCAACTTTTTGGCGCCATTGCCGGGGAGCTTATGGTGTTGACTATCTATTTAGTTAATTTTGTGTTTTGCTTCTCTTTCCTTCTTGTTTACTAATTTTGTTTATGTCGATCAATCAGGTACAAATGGCTATTAATGCAAATGACCCTCTCGGCAATGTGATAGCGGGGGAGGAGGTAGAGAATCTAGAACAAGATAAGTCTTACCTCAAGTTCCACAGAGGGACCGAAATGCTAATATAAATGCAAATGAGAACAACAATATTCCAGACCCACCTCCGCAACCGTCGAGAGTGGCTCCCAGAGTTTTACCAAATCAAGGATACGCCAGTGCTATTGTGCCTCCCCGAATTCGGGCGAGGAACTTTCAAATCACAAATGTTATGTTGACCGTGCTCGAGCAAAGAGGGTATTTCATGGGCGCCTCTAATCAAAATGCCTACAAGCACTTGAAGGGGTTCGTGGATACATGCTGGGGTAGCAAGCAGACA